ATATATCAAGTATCTGAGTGTGATCAGTGTAACAGAGGAGCACAGGGCGGAGCTTATTTCGACTCTCTCTCTCAGTCTCCCACTCCACCAAGAGAAGAGGAGAGAAGGAGAACTGATTGTACTAACTCGTTAAACTTGCAGTCGGTCAGTAACTCCGCCCAGCCTTTCTCTCCGCCTACTGTACACGTATCTTGTCCCAGTGTGGAAGAGACTGTACTACTAGCATCACAAAAACTTCAAAAAATAGCCGAGTCACAGGAAAGTCCTCAAAAAGTTCCTAATCAAGACAAAGAAGGTTTTCCTCTTGCGTCTATAAATAACACTAGCACAGGTCCACAGCTGGTAGCTAGAACAGTGCTTAAAGAGAAGAGAGAGAATGTGTTGAATGGCTCAGCCTCCATTTTAACTCATTCTTCTTCACCTCTTGAGGCATTAGATATATTTATACAAACTGGTTTAGTTCTTCACAAATCAAACTCTAATAAAAGTGATGGCCTCTCCCTCTCTGATCTAGAGGCTATGGATTGGGATCATTTCGGTTGCTGTCCTCACGTTGAAGAACTGAGGGTTCTCAGTCAGTTATTGTCATCGCTGCATAGTCAGGTCCTCTTTGAGAGGTACCAGTGTCAGAGTCATGCTAAGAGAAATAGGAGATTGATGAGTAAAGCAAGACATGTTAGCAAACTAGAAAATGAAATAGTGACACTAGTAAGATGGATATGTACATGTAATTTATGTATGGTATTATATTTACATTTTAATATTATTTATATTTTTCCTTAGTGATTTTTGGCCAAACACCCTGTACTATAGTACAGGGTGTTTAGCCAAATTTTTGAGCAACTTCTAAAATTGTTTTATTATTATTTATTGTAGCGGCACAGATTACACCAGCAGGAGGACATCATAAGATGTTTAAAGAGAGAAGTAGAAGGAAAGAAAGAGACAAAGGTGGGGGATAAGGGAAGAGAGGTTAACAGGTTATTAAAAGAGAGAGAAGGACTTCATGAGAAAATAAAGACACTTCAACAACAAGTGATGCAACTTGAGACAAAGAACAACGAATTATCACAAGTAGGAAGAGAGAGAGAGAAAGAGAGAGAATGATATTAATAATTGGTATTCTTTCATTGAATTATATTAGTAACGCGCTAGCGTTACTAAGTAGGATTCACCCCCAAACAAAATGGCTGCCACGACTTTTGCAGCCTTGCTATACCGGGAAAACGAGCTCCTATGCTTACCAGACTTCTTAGAGGACCTTATCTTGACCAGAGGACTCCAATGGTACCACTAGCGTGGCTCTAGGCCCTGTCTAAGAGGAAATTCAAAAATCAGCGAACTGGCCGTTTTGTTCAGCCACCTTTTTTCATCTTCATCATCTTCTTCATCATCATCAAGTCCTGTCAATCCAGTTGTCGGTGTGTATCTCAGTATTGGTTGGTGCTACAAGGATAATTCTTACACCAATCTACTCCAAAAGTCTATGCGCAGGTCCATGTCCCATCAGATCATTCTTCAAGTAAAGAAAAAGTGATACTGTGACTGCTGGATAGAGCCATCTTAGCTACATGCAGCCATTT